ATCACCAAAAACATGCCTTACTATACTTACATTACTATAGTAATGACAATTTTTATGGTGGAAAAACAGAAAAAATATAATTTTTTGGTATGTAAATATTTGACAACAGTGTTATGCTAATTTAATAAGATTCTGAAAAAGTCTTCAAAAATGAAAGAAAAAATACTCATTTGCCTTAAAATGCATAGTAATTACCATTTTCATGGTCAAAATGACAGTCTTCAATGTCTTCAAAATAAGTTTCTCAAAAATGAGTAAAAATGCACTCATGTGCCTTAAAATACATAGTAATGACCATTTCTATGGATAAAATTGAGAAAAAATATATACTCTTGTGTTTAGTTTTAGTAAGTATTGATAACTTTAATTCCCAAAAATTCTCCAAAAATGAAAGTTTCTCAAAATGAATAAATTGCATCCATATGTGGGGTTGTAAACTCCTGGTCGGGTGATTGATTTAATTTTGTATGTTTTATATAATTTTTTATGTTTACATATATATACACATATATGTATATATATATACACACACACATACTATAAATAATATTTTTCTTTTCAATTACAGATACTCCTCTACCATGTCAAAGACATTTTGGCAGCATTTTACAAAAATAGATGACAGGAAAAAAGTCTAAAATGAGGACATGTCCGTCAATTTTTATAACACGACGAAAAATAATGTTCCTAATATAATCAGCTCTTGTGCTGATGCCACTTGTTGACATATTTATATATTTTCAGAAATCATGGGCTATATAATGCATGTGAAGCAAAACGCTGTCAGAGTTCTTTGTGGATTACCAGCTTGTTAAAATGCAGCGATGTTCAGTTTGTCCTCAAACCTCCTGTTGCATGCGCCTCCGGGTGGTCCTCGCTGATACGTCAAACATCGTTGCATTCTTCTGCCCTATTCCTCCACCGTCTCACTCCAGGCACACATTCTGGCCAATGGATCAGACAAGATTGGCGTTAGCCTCACCCACAGACTTTGATGGACGAGTGGACAGATAAATTCATTCATGATGGCACTGCCACACAAGACCATGACATGTAAAACTTTTTAAATAAATAATTACATTGAACATTAACATTAACATTGAATTAATGAAAACATAATTAATGGTGTATTTATTTACTGTTGTAAACTTTCAGTCCTCCATAGATGGCGTTACACCTGAAAGATTTCACAAAGCACCGTGGAGATCTCATCACCTGTTAAAGTTGCAGATCATTCTATTGTTTGATGAACTCAGTAGAAAGTGCTGAAAAACCAAGAACCACAAATGAAAGGAAAGTGAAAGTGAACTACATGTCATTGTGACATAGCACACCACTGCACACAACCAAATGTGACCTCTGTTTTTAACCCATCACCAAAGTGAACAGTGGGCAGCTTTAAGCGCCCGGGGAGCAGCATGGGGGGATGGTGCCATGCTCAGGGCACTTCAGCAGCTGGTGGACTCAAACCTGAAACCTTCTGGACCCAAGTCTGCATCCTTAACCACTAAGTCACCACTGCCACTCAATGTACAGATAACAAACAACTGCAGAGGACTGGAACCCTTTTTAAAATTAATAAAATTATAAGAAATATAGCCTTTTTTTTAATCAAAGGGATTAGTGATTGTTATTTCCTGGCAACTATTGCAGTTTATAAAAACACAAGACAATGAAATCTCATATATTTCTAATTTTATTAACAGTGACCGTAAACAGCCACTGAATAAGGAAAACATATTGAACATACATAGAATTAATTTTCATCTTTTTTTTAAACATTCCACATCTTTAAATCTGATCTGGTCTAGAATGTTGACAGCACAACTAAATAAATGTCTGGTATTTTCTTTGAATGTTTTGACAAAAGGCTAATATCAGCGCAATAACCTGTATCAGATACCGAGAAACTGCAACCCTGTGGCTAAACATGCAAGATTCAACAGATGTTGCAGAAAATGTGATGGGTATCGCTTGTTTCTAGGACAGCAGTGGCATCACTTGAGGTTCTTTATAATATGTATTGATGCTCTTTCATATAAATGTACAATGTACAAATGTCTGTAGTGGAGACTGTAAAGCTCTGAACAAGAAAGGGAGCAGCCAAGATTCTGGAATCTCTTCTGTCTTTAAAATGTTTTCAGTCACATTTTTGTTATCCTCTGCAGCTACTGTTATGTGGGACTTTGTTCTTCCTCTTGCTTCATCCTCTTCCTCAGCTGCTCTCCGATGTCAGACAGAGGATTGGATTTGGCAGAGATGGACTTCACAGCGGTGCTGAAACGGCTGTACTCAGTTTCTCTGCAGTACCAACAAATTAAAGTTGGAGTTAAACTTTTAGGAATTTCTAAAAAAATAAAATATACTAATAACAAGTATAGGAAGTGGCTTCTTACAGGAATTTGCGTTTCTGCGATGCTTTCATCTGACTGAAATCTGTTGGCTCGGGCTTCTTCTCCTGCCTATGGACAGAAACCAGGACAATGTGTCACCAAGAGAAGACAACACATGTCACTCATACAGCACTAAGGCATAGAAAGATGTTCCCAAGAAAAACTTTGAAGTACACCATGTCAGCACATGACCACATGGAGCGCTGTTTGCTCAGCAAAGTACAGAAAACTTTTTTCAGTAGCTCTCTTTTATAAATAACTGACAGAATCACACAGCACCTCTCACACTCACATATAACTCTTGCTGCAGAGTAGCTTAGACACTTACACTTTATCTTTCCTCCTCTTGCGGCGAGCTGAAGCGGTCATGGCAGTGGGCGAGTCGAGGAGCTGACAGAGTTCAGGCAGAGCGTCAGCCAGAGGCCTCAGGTCACCAACTACGGGCGTAGCCTTCCTGCGGGCCGTGGCTGCCTGCTGCTCCCTGGCCAGTTTGATGGAGCTGATCTCTGAAGGGACAATGAAGTTTGGTAAAAACAGACTAGATTTTAATGGGTTTTTTTAAGTTTTTTTTCTGGAATCTTTGGCTTTGTGTTTAGTGGACGGTCTTCATCTCCTTTTCTCTCCATCTATCACCCATGAACTCAACAGAGCTTTTTTTTCCTCTTTCCAATTTCTGGAACCATCATCAATGTGCAGCCGTTCTCTGGTTTCAGCAAAGACAAATTATGCAGCCATTTGCACCTAATTATACGTCTGAGGAAGACGAGTGTTGTGTTACTGAGGAATCAACGACCTCAGCAGGAGGGTCCGCTTACCAGTCTGACTGAAGCTGATAACTAAGGGTCATGGTGTTTGTGAGGAATGAAATCAGACGAAGTAGAAGATAACATTTAAAGACACTCCCTTAAGGTACAGTACTCAGTAGTTGTTCAGTAGTGAACTTACTATTTAGCCACTTCTCTCTTCTCTCCTTCATCTTCTCTTTCTTTGTCTTGAGTTTCTTCTCTTCTGGACCTGCACGAACAACAACAATAGTTAGAAGATCCATGACACCATCTCTTTTATTGATGTTGGGCTTCAGAATAATCTGAAGATGTGAAAGATCCTCACTGTCCAAAATTCAGCTTTACTGATAGTTACGGTTATAGTATACAGTATACAGTTACTTATAATTGTGTTCTTTACTTTCTCTAAAGAGAAAGGTGGTCAGTGGGGATGAGAATTAATAAGGATTTACTCATTAAGTCACTTATCGATTCTTATAGAGTTAGGATATATAGTATAGTACAAATAGGTACAAAACTGTACAAATATATTTGTTTGCACTGACTCTTTAATTAATTGACCAAAGTGGCTGTTTTTCATGAAATGCAAGCACACCTCAGCTTCTTCTGCCCAGACACCATTGTTGTTGTTTACACTCCAAATGAAGCCTGTGTGTGAGGTCAAATACGTCTACCCAAAATAGAGCACAAATAGTAAGCAAACATAGTTATGATTCCAAGAAATATGGCCATTGAGAACCAGTGTTGTGAAAACAAAGGTTCTCGATTCCCATCCCCAGTGATTATTTACTGTTGAGCACCTTAGGTTGAGTAACGTTCAGGAAAATAAAAAATACATTTTTCTTCTGGACCTTGTAGAATTGGTAAAGCTATTCCCAATTACAAATAGTCAAGTCTACATTTTCTTTATGATCAGAAAAACAATATACAACAATTTTAAACACAAAAGTATCTTGATGAGCTCAAAATAACATTTATGTTTTGCAACGCTAATGTCTTCCATCCATCACTCTGAACTGTCCTTTGCTCATAAGCCCGGCATGTTTGTATGTGTCAGTGCTGTTCAGACAGATAAATCATCTCTAGAGATTCTACTCCAGCTTTATCAGCCTTTATCTGCAGCACTTCACCACACAACTGCTGGTCGCAGAGAAGAACAAGAAGAGATAGAGATCTGCTGCAGACAACGAATGTGGTCAGGGATGCAGAAACCTAATATGCCGTTAGGACCGAAAATCAGGGAGTGAGTGTGCATGAGCATGAGCATGCATGAGTGCACGTGTAGGGCTGACGACTTAATTCCCAATGGGACCACTGTCTTCCCGCTTCCTGATGAAATGGATAGCTGTGATTATAGCTGGTAGGAGACCAACACTCCTCTAACCAACACTGTCTTCACAACATTTTGCAATTTAAGGCAGTGATTCCCAATCACTGTGTCGCAACTCACTAGTGTGTCATGAGAGATCATCAGGTGTACCGCAGAAAATTGTCCAATTTTAATTAGTTGATCTTCAAAATATTATTTATTTGCTGCAAATATTTTTGTCTTAAATTGTCTTTGTAACAGTGACAGGCAGCAACAATGAAAAGCTCTTTCACTAGGTGGCAGGAGATGGCACTAAAAAAAAGAAAGAGGGACTCATTGGAAGAAGAGAGTATATTAGCACTGTGTTTAACTAGAAGATGAGTTCATTACTTCTTACAACCCTGCTTATGTATAAAATACAGCACTGCAGGGAAATTACAGTACTCAGTATTTAACTTGGACAAATCAATGCATTTTTCTTTGAGCTACAAATGCAATTCAGCTAGCTACTGGGTCTACTTCACATTTAAACATATTAAGGAAAGACAATTCATATTTAATTTAATTATGTACAGGAATTTTTTGCATGGTTCGTAAATTTATACATTCCTTTTATTCAAATTTTATTTATTCAACACATTGAGTGTTTCAGCTTTCACAGAAGCAGAAGAAGCGTAATTATGAAGTAGCTGTTCACACTCACCTTTCTTGACAGGAATCTGTACATCTAGAGTTTCTTCATACTTCAGTGTTTGAACCAAAGCTTCTGGAGTGATTTTTGTACCAGCAAAGATTCCAGTGGGGAAGGAGCTTTTCGTTGGGGCCTTTAAGGTTTAAAAAAAACAGAAAAGAAATGAATAAGCATTGCTGTGTCAGCCTGCAGCCTACTTGCCCTCCTAACGTCATACCTCTGCGCCACAGCACAGTCATTAGAATAACTTTGTTGGTGGAAAACAACATTATTGCTGTTGGTTCTCTCGTAAGCTGTAAGCTGCGTATAAAGCTAGTTAGGCTCCGCCGCAGCTAGCAGGGAGGCTAAAATAGTTATAATAGAGTTATATAGAAATAGTTATAAGGCCAAGACAATAAATTATAAAATCACGATGCAATGCAGGTACATTTTGTTTTGTTTGACATGTTATTATCGCAGTACAACCAATCGCTAAGATGCTTTAGCTTCTTTTACAACTAATATTTTTAAAAAGTGCCATGTTTTTTTGTTTGCTTTTTGTAGTTCCATCAGGGCTACATCTGAAAATGTCATAGCCTGAGGTCAACATAAACAAGAGTCATACAAACGATATTATTTAAGGCCAAGAATATGGGCCAGGATAAATAATAGTTATTGTTTTGAAGTTATTGTGTGCAGAAAAGAAAACCATACAATGGTTGTCTAGTTATATCCTAATCACAATCACGAATGTTAAAAAACGGCACAATTTGTCAGATTTTAATGTGAACATTAATATATTAGTAATAGATATTACCCCCATTTAAATGAAATGAATGAAATATAACAAAGCACAGCAACATTCAGGACTAAATATCAAGGATACCAATAATCAGTAATGGTCTACGCCTAAAATTTGTATTTACTTCGACAGAAATGTAAATGTATGAGGGGACTCCTTTTTAAGTGATTCATTGCTTGACCTGATTAAAAAACAAATTATTGCATTCTACACCCTTGATGACTTCAGAGTCCTAGGGACAAACGTGGATGTTGTAGATATAGTGTTCAAGTTGTCGTGATTTGTTATAAAGGTCAGCGTATAATTTCTGCATCAGGACTTCTCCACAGACAGACCTGTTTGCTCTGAGACTTGTTTTCCTCTGGAACTGCAGTAGAATCACTCTTTTTGTCCCGGACACTCGAAGAAAACGACAGCGAAAACAGAGACGAAGTGGCGCTCAGTGTTTCCTCCGGCTTCACTGCCTCCTGGTGAAGCTTCTGTCGGACACGTTTTATCTTCCCAACCATCCTTAAATATATCGTAAGACTTAAATAGACACAGAAAAGTGTTGTTTATACTAGTCATGTAACGCGACTACAGCATGCCTTCAGACAACGTGCATATATACACGAGTATCACTCGCTTCTGCGTCTTCTTCTAATTCAGTATCTTACGACAACAAACACGGCAATGGTGCACTGGCTCCCCCATATGGTTATCTGTAAGAACAGCGTAATCAAAACCTGGCTCTACAATTGAGTAATGGTTGGGCAGAGGATTGAATGGAAACGCTATAAACAATAACAAAACTTTAAATCAGAATCACGTACAAGGGCAAAGTGACTAAATAAATTACAAAATGGACAACAAAAATACAAAAAATGGAAAATGGCATATTGAGAAAATGGACGAAACAAAAAGAAGAGAGGAAACACATTGAAATCAAATAAAAGAAGTGCAGAAGAACTAAAGCAGCAAAAGGTAACAAAAGACCCACACACAAGTTCAAAAAATCCCAATTGAAAAGTGTAAAAAATGACAACTGAGGAAAAATATTGAAATGGACAAAAATTGCAAACAAAATGGTAAAATTGACAAATTAAAAAATATATTTTTAAGAGGGGAAAATGGGCTAAAGCAAAAAATGCTATATTCAGAAACACAAGTTCAGACAAGGAACGAAATGCAAAAGAATAAAACAAAACAATAAACTAACCATAGAGCAAAATTACACAAGGACAAAAAGAACAAAGTGGACAGCAGGTAAAACCATTAAGAAGGACAAAAGCAAAGAGGACATAATATAAACAAGTGCTGAAAGAAAACAACAGCTCTTTCATTTTTTGGATTTATTTGAGGTTTTGCTCTGCTGTCACCATGGAATCTCCACAAACACGCATTCTATGCAGACAAGGTCAACAAAACATAAACAAATGCATGCACAGCATGTAGATATATATCTTACCCTGGTAAAACAAACCTTTATATCTAATTGGCTGTCTGCAACAAACTTGATTTTTTCCCCCAATTTTTTTAACATTTCTTGGTCAACAATCAGATCCACATAATCAGTTTAATGGGCTTATTAAAAAATTGAATACTTCTTTCTTGATTTCTTTCAAATTGAATTCAAGTAGACGTGTCATAAAATAATTCATAAAATAAACAATAATACCTCCATCAGACCCATAGGTTTCTCTTTAATAACAATAGCCTTTAAAAAGCCCGACACTAAATAATTGATACAAATAAACAATACAAGAACTTACATTTACTTGTACACACACGCACACACACATATATTCCTTACATTATACATTTGAATTTTATACAGTAAAAGGTTCAAATTGTATATAGGGTAAAAATACATACTCATCATTACCTTGGTGCTAAAAAACAGAATGACATGTACTGTAGGTTCCTGATCTTCTGTTCCACATAAAAGTCAGTTTTCAGGGTACGGTTATCACCCTGTTTGCGTGTCAGGTGAACTATCAGTGACTAACTTAAGGTTTAAATATAGTTTAAATATAGTGTAAATGGAAACCAGCTTTGTCACACATATGATAAGGATTTTTTTATATCACATTTATTTTATTTTCGCAAATAGTTTCTGTCTCTGCACCATATGACTTTCCAGTGCATTAAATAAAGTTGCAAAAAATATCTAAACTTCCCTGCTTGAGGCAGTAAAAACAGAATGACATGATGACAAATTAACTCCTTTCCCTATTGACTGGGTGCAGGAGGATAATAGGTTTATTATGTGATAAAAGGTAAGTAAGTAATGTTACAATGCTGTTAAGAAATAAGTAAGTAATGCTGTTAGTAATAACTAGTAATTAGTTGAGCTGCTAATTGAGAGTTACCTAGCTCCTGTTAGATATTTACTAATTCTGATAGCATCCAGCTTTTTTGTATCTATGATACATATAAAATATCTGCCGCTACTGGTTAATTTGATAAAAAAGTCAGCACATTTTTTCTTTGGTTTTGAAATATTCCCAGTCTTGTACTCAGTCTGCTGTACAAAATCTTGATTAAATCATGCATCATCACACCTGCTTTGGTGAGACAGATTTGTTTAGACAAGAAATATAAATTTAGGACCGACAAACATTATACTTATTTTTCTATATCAGCAGAAAAAGAACATAGTGAAAGCAATGGACTGCAGAAGTACTGTTTGTTGAAAAAAGAAAAATACTGACAGAAAAAAAAAAAACTAAGACATTATTGTGGCACATTTTTGCATCCGACACATTACATACTCTAATACAAAGTTCAAGTCGACTGCAGACAACAAAAAAGTCTACAAATACTTCATAATTCATAGAAATCACTGGGTATTTGGCGGATAATTTTACCACACGAAAAGGAATAATTAGAAAGCATTTAAGTACTATTTTACCGTAGTATTTTGCATAATTATTCCAGTCCTGTCATCCTGATGTGCACGAATATGGAGGATGGGGGAATACTGGTCCCATCTCTGGATAAAAGATAAATGTGACGATAACCTGAGAACAAGAAATATTTTCTTTGAATAAAGCAGTTCCTCAAGTTTTTTCAAGAAAGGTACATTGGCTATTTCCCAAATACTTTGATAGTTATTGGCAAATGCCTTAAAACACTTAGCAGTTACTTGTGAATGACAATGTCTTTGGTTGGTTCTACCTTTGTCCTAAACTGTACTGTTACTCAGAGGTTAAGTTGTTGGACTGATGCCTGTTCAGACTTACCCTGCTGCATGCAGATAAAGGGAAGTGTGTACTGTCCAACAAAGTCATTCCTGGACGCCTTGTCATAATCTTCAACCACAAATCGGACCAGGGCAAGTTCAGGAGTGTGGATGGTGAAACGTAGAGTGTCATACCACACGGGATTAAACCCTGCAGAGAGGACAAACTGGGTCAACATTTGTATTTGAAATAAGGCTTCATTTTTTTGAAAAAAAATATAAATCTATAGCTGATGGAAGCAAATCAGCTGGTATTTTTAAAGAGAGATTGGATTGACTCAAATTGGATTAACAATGTATGCAGCTCAGTTGCTCCTGTACTGGACAGATGCTACAGTATAAACCGTGCTGTCTGTGAACTCTGTAGAAGTTTTTACATTATATGTTCCCTTTTCCATATCCTTTCTTCTTCTCCCTGCATAGTGGTGTTGTATTCCTACTCATGTTTCTGCTGCAATCAGACTGTCTTGCTCTCTGATTGGCTGTGGTGACTTAAGTCATCGCAGGTGGAGATCACATTTCCAGCAGGTTGAAAAGAGATCTTGTTGTGCAACACATCACGAGAGGAATTGGAAGGTCCTCTGACTTTAGCTCCTGCCTATCATGTGCCCATTAGAGGCAATTAGCCATGAATAGTACAAGCCGTCAGTGTCAGGATCATCAGCCTAATGATTGTGTAATTAGAACACGATTATAGGCTTGTAGCAATAGCAGCCAAAAGTTTAACCCCAATGGTGTCAAAGAGCACAAAGCCCCATTTTTATTTAGTATCAACCAATGAATTTTAATCTTTCAAACAAACATGCCATTAACCAACCTGCTTAATAGCATGTTATTATATTACATTCATATAGTATATTTTAAAGGGGAAAAAAACAAATACAAATATATACTGTCATGTTTCGGCTGACTTGAAAATTCCATCTTAGGTAATCATTATATGTCAGTTAGCTAATAGCTAACACACTATTATGACTATTCCTAAAGGTTGTAGGTTGTATTTCTTAAGGTGAGCTAACAAAGAGCAAGGCAAACTACAACTACAGTAGTTACAGAATCTATGTGGTTGCTACTAAAAATGGTAAAATTGGTAAGGTTAAATTAACAAGATATATTAAAATGAATTTTAATATTTGTATTGATAATGAGACCTTCTATTTACCATTATTCTCAATATATCTGGTCTCCTGTTTGGCCTGGTCCATAGGAACTCCGTGGATTTCCACCCTAACCAGAGGATCCACTATGGAATCCTTTTTCATGTTGACTTTGGGCAACTGCTGACCACTGATGATCTGGAAAATAAAACCAGAGAAACCCACTGTTTTTAGTAAATGACCTTTTTCTGTTGATCTGTAAAACACCTCTTTTGCCCTGGTACCTGTACGGTTAGGCTGATAGGACAGTAGCCATCCAGGTTTTGGGGCATCTCAGGATTGAACCGTTTCTCATCACGCATAAAGGGGGGCTTCAAGATGTATCCACAGCAGCCATTCTGACTGAAGAGACCATCATTCAGGTCCATTCCTTCACCAGCAGTCTGAAAATTCAATGCAACTGCAAAGAAAGTGAAGAAGAAACGGATAGAAAAAAAAAACAGCCATGTTCGGTTTTGTTTCCGAGAAATCTTTGCTGTTTTTGTATCATCCTTGTTGCGTTTTTGGTTTTAGAATTTACCAATTTGGCACCCAGCATTCCACATCTCCTGGGGATTGAAATTGGACGAGTCTGTTCGGAAACCACTGGGATAAACTCTGGTCAACTGCCGAGTGTTGTGGTGCACGAATTCAGCCCCTGAGACAGAGACATTACATTATATATAATAGACTGCATATATAAATATAAAAAGTCTCCATCTTCCATCTTGTATATTAGACCTAAAAAGACTGTGGGAGATGTTTCCATTGGAGAATCATCCTTCATTGAAAACTGAAAACTGTTTCTTTGCCGGGTCTACGGTTAAACATCTTGTTACTTTCGAATTTTCTTTCAGTTTTAGGAAAAGAAATATCAGTGGAGCTAAATCAAAACTTGTTACAAACTTTTAATCATTAGAAAAGTTTAAATCCAAGTTTTGGATGAGAATTTGGTGTTTGCTCTAATTTCATAATTGTGTCTTAACATGTTTGGATATTAGATAATGATATTAATTACCTTTTGAAATACGTACATATATTTCTGGAGAAACATTCTTAAATATTGCACACACTCGGTAATGTAAGGTGACCTAACTCACCAGCCTCTCTCAGGTGTTTGCGAGCTTTAGACTCAGTGAAGGAAGTGACTTCGTAGAACTTGGCGTGTAATCTGGAGTGTTTGAAGCTGTTGAAGTTGACGCTTTTGCAGTAGACAACACAGTCGGACAACTCTTTGGACAGACGCTGTTTGGACTTCTAAACCAAAAAATAAAAAATAAAATTCAAGTAAATACAATTTTCTCAAGTCTTGTTGCCTGGACACTTGTGCAGGCGTAGTTCAGCATAAGTCATATTACAATATACATGCTGTGCCCTCATGTTTTTCATCAGTTTTTCACTGAATGAACTATTCGTGATAATTAGCCAATGGGTCGTTCTCTATCTGCTTCATTTATTTTAACTTTTCAATCCGGAAGCCTGAAGATAAAATTTTAATCAAGAGGAGTGTATTTATTTTCAGGTTGACCAGCTTAATGTAGCCCACTCTGTATTAATTAATAAATGAAAATATTTTTTTTTTTAACACGTCAGTGTTGCATAACTGGATTGAAACAATGACTCTGAAAACCATCCATTTATATAAGTGTTTTTCAGCTGTACGTCTCGTTCTCAGACAATAATGTTCCTCCTGTTAAATGGTTCCTACCCTGCTCTCTCGGTGAAGGTTGTCGTCCTCAATTTCAGCCACTGCATCGTCATCACTGACCTCTCCAGTTAACCCATTCTCCACAATCCCACCAAAATCGTCCTCCAATCCTCCAATTTTCTTGGCCTTTAGGAGAATCTTCCCCTTGAGCTCCTTAAAATTTCACCAAACAAAACCACCTTAGTATTATTATTGTTATTATTATTATTATTCTCGTCTGACAGATATCATCACTATCACTATTACAATTACTATTCCAAAAGCCCAGTCTTCTGCCATCACCATATTTTAATCCCATAACAATACAACGTGAATGTGTAAATTCTCATCAGTTCCCATCCTTACTGAATATAAGACCAAAGTCTATAGACTGGTCTATTGGTAAATGAACAGCTCACCTCAGGAGACGGCAGACTGCCTGGAGCCTTGCCATCCAATGTGCTTTTTAGCAACTTGTCACCAAGAATGTTGTTCAGATGATGAGCCATGACTCTCTGCTGCCCCACGCTGCAGTGGTTCTCAATAGACAGAATGACTGGATATTCTGACACCTGGGTGACACAGGAAGAAGGTGAGAGCAGGCAGGGAATGAATGAGTTTGTCATTTAATCTTGGCATCTTCACATGCCTCCTGAATCACACCTGTTGTGGTGAGGTGAGAAAAAAAGATAAGAAGGTCTGGGGACAGGTTCATAGTGACCACAATGTGGAATAACAAACAGATACTACATTACCCATCTCTACTCGTTTTGCTAAATAAAAAAAGAAACTAAGATTTGAAACATTTGGTCTACTTTTAATACTTGCACTACAGGTTTAAAAATGGATACAGGCGACATTACCTTGAAGGCATAGTTGCCCACTGCACTGACCACATCTTTAAAGAATATTTTAGAGGTAAAAGTATGTCCGTGATATACGATTGGTTCTCCATTGGCACCGTCCCAGCAGTCCACTTCTACACACCTGCAGCCACGAGTTAGGGCCCTTTGCAGAAACACAAGGAGGGGAGTGGAGTGGGGGGTCAACAATTGGGGGTAACTTAAGGAAACTACAGACCTTGAAGCTTCAAAGTCAGCAGCACTACCTGATGTATCCTTCTACACTGCTGTGTCCTCGAAGCTGGTCCTCCATTAGGTAGGTGTTGTGAGAAGAAGAGATGAAGTAGTGGCACAGTGGCTGGCTCATGTCCTGGTAAACACCTCTTTGTTGTGGGTTGAATACAGATCCCTCAGCTGAGCCAAGGTACATCAAGACGCCATCAAATGACATGGCATTTAGAAGCTTTGCTGGAAACCAAGGAAAGTAGTTTTAGCAATAAAAGTTTTACAGATGTGTTTTTTTTATATTGACATTTTACCTCTGTCTGACGGTTCGTAGCGTTCGATGAGCTGCTTGGCTCGCTGCTGCAGGTTGCCTCCCTCCAGCTGCTCTTCTCGCAGGAAGTCTTCCAAATCACTGAGGGACAGCTTTTGGCCATCGGACGAGTACTTCTGGAAAACTCTAAGTACATCCTCCCGCTGTGTTAACATCTTGTAGAAATGCACAAACTCGTCATCTTCTAGTGTCCTCGATTGGGATTTATCAGCCATCTAAGGACAGAAGAAGGAGCATGTGCCAGAGAGTTTCACAATGTCCTCCACCTGGTATTAATCAGTGTTAAAGAAACAAAAAATCTAAAAAGAATATGTTATGATTCTCACAGTGAAGAGACGTAGCGCATGGTGCTCATTCATGTCCACGTTCATCATCTTCAGTAAATCTTGCACTTCCTTGAAGTTCATCCTGCCGTCATTGTTCTTGTCTGCCTTTTTGAACCAGTCGCTTATCCATCTGTGTACACCAGTTAAGGAAAGATTCCAGTAAACAGGTTGTTTTCCATAAAGTTGCACTAAGAATCTCTATGATGATGTGAAGTGAAAACCCTTGTGTTTGATAGGACAGCAAACCCTCAGGCAAAAGGATACTGGTCAAGTTTTTCTTGCTCATCCATGTTCTCCACATTCTCTATCAGTTTTCTTAAGCCCCTGATCCAGGACTCGGCCTCCTCTGCTGACTCAGCTACTAGATCCAGGTTCCCCCTGCGGCCACGGAAGACCAATGTAAAGCATCGTTCAGCCGGAAACTCATCGGCGGTGCTGAGGAGGACTTCTGACTGGTGGCCTTCTCTTATAGCTTCCACGTCCAAGACAGAGACTGGCCACAAAGAAACATGTACAGTATTTAGGTTTCAGTAAAATCACCCCAAACTATATTCTGCCTGTCAGATTTTTACAAATTGAACAATGTCATCTGCCATATGCAATGTAGTTGATTTGAACAACAGTTATTTACAAACTTGATCCAAAATACACAATTGACACTGTCGAAAAGGGGATTAGCTGCCCCACCTGCACGGGTTCTGATACAAAATATGGATAAAATGGCTGTAACCATTTCCACTGGTCTCACGTATTCATATTAATATGAGGAATTACTGGGACTGGAGATATAGAAAATGGTCTTCTTGGACAAAATGAGTGTTAGGGAATTAGTTTCCCAGTTGTTTTTTTTTTTATTTTTTAAGGAGTATACTATGATCCGTGGTAATTTAAACTTTACTGAGGTCCAGAATGTACAAGTGGAATCTGAATCCACAGAGATTGGATACTTTAACACTTTTGTCCAAGCACCACTTCAGAGACGTGTCAGGCCTTAGAACCAGACTCATAGTGACGTAAATGGCAGAAAGACGCTGAGACGCAAGTACTCATGGTGGTTTGAAAAGAAGTCGGTCAGAGACAGAATGGTTAATATTTTAACAGCATGAATGGAATTTAAACATCATTAATACAATTAAAAAAAAACAAACAGAAAATGATATTAGCCAACTTATACTGTTCTCACATGTAGAACGGTCATTGCCAGCTTTCTTCGACTTGTACCAAATGGTCATGCAGTCGTCCTCCAGTTTAAAGTAACGCTGCTTCTTCCAGGCACGAGACTTGATTTTCCTCATCACTGTGCCCACAAGCATGGACTGAATGTCTTCATCCGCTTCTGTAAAGTAGGAAGAAAATTCTTTCTTATTGAAATACGGTTCATAGATCTAGTAGATAGTAAGAACCATCTACTACTCTCAAATTGTCCAGCAGCTCTACAACAATTTACTAAATTGTGTTCAAATGTTTTAAATATTTTAGTCTGACATCTTTGAAGAATGCATATCTGCAGAAATGTTTTCTCAAAAGTTATTGTACTTTTGGTTTGATTAGCATGTGGAACCCAGAGGCAGTAAACATGACTCAGGCTTTAATCCAACACTATACTGCACATCATATATCATTAAAAATGCAAGAACCAATCAAAAACCTGCCTGAAATTACAAAAAAGCTCCTGATGGACAACATACTACCTAAAACAAGGTGACATTTGGATAGTTGCAAAGTTATTAACCCTAAAGCTAAACAAAACAATTATAATTTCATATTAATCCCTAGGCTCCTTATACCATTTTTATGTAGTGAGACATGGAATCAGGGCAAAAATAAAGATTGTGGAACTTGGACCATATAGTTTAAATAGAATGTTCACCATAACATTTAGAGATTTTATAGAAAAGAATACAAATTTGAGGAGTAAAATGTAATCTCTGCTTCTGTTTCACATACAAACTCAAACAGGAACTTACGGAGGCCTGTCCCCGTGGAAGCCATTTCGTCTCTCCTCATACAGTCATCTAAAAAAAAAAAAAAAAAAAAAATTATACCATAACTTATGTTATGTAATGATAATAAGTACATCATTAGATCAGCTTGTGTGTTTAAACATATATGTAAGCAAATAAATTATATGTAGGGCTTTTGTCTAGATATTTAGGAACTACTAAATATAATTTATTTGGTTGAGTTTGATGAAGAAACCAAATAACCTTTAAGCAAAGGTGACTCGGTAGAGAACGCCCCTCTTCGCTGAGCCATAGAACCTGGGGGTCACTGACACAAACATACCCAAAAGAACAGAGAAAATTAAACTTGCATGGGTCAAAAAAATCAAAATCACACTATTTGTCTAATATTTGGTAAATTTATCTTTGGTTATTGCATGTATTTGTCCTTGTGTAGAAGACACAGTTGTTACAAAATTCTGGTTGCCTAATATATTTGGATACTTGTGGTTCTATGCCCAAATAGACTCTAGTATGGATGAAATTCCAATTCTTTACAAACTATAGCTTATTAAAATGAATCAAAGACATGGACTTATCTTAAAGTTTAACCCTCAAACACCAATGGAGACATGAGGACTTTTCCCATTAAGTCCCCAAATATTTCTTTCTGAAGCTATGTTCATGCTTCACTAAGGCACATTATCAAATACAGGAAACTCAAATTAATTATGGTGTAATATCTACCTATAGAGTATGCCTTCAATTTAAATGTTTGTAAATTCAAATTTCTGTTAAGCGGCAACTCAACTGTATGTTTCTTATTTCTTATATTTCAACTTACACACATACGTTATTAATAGTTGTTAGAAGTAGTGATGCTGGAAGTGAATGTCCATTTCTTGTAGTGTACTGGTAACTCTTAAGTCACTGTAGAGAAGACCTGCTTCTGACATTGAACTTACAAACTAGAGTTTTATCAACACGGCGCAGCAGAGCCAGTGACCATGAGCCCAAGCTCAAGTGCAGGCGTTTTACCCTCCTGACCTGTTCTGTGACTTGATCCACACCATTCTACTAGCAAACGTGCTTGAACCAGACACCAGAAACAATCAGACCTGATACAACTGTGTGATCTCTCTCTCTGTCTCTTCCGCTCCTCTAATGAAGGTGAATGTCCACTGTCATGGTGATTATTGGTATTTCTACTATCTATTGATGCTGGTGTGATAAAATTGACTTTCTTGATACTTTTTTTTATAAAAAATGAGGCAAGAAAATAGTTACAAAAATGACTAAAGGTATATTAGTGAAATTATAATATTACTGTAGCTGTAGTATGCACTTTGTATTTTTTAAGCCTTTCTTAATGAATTTTGTATTAATTGCATCTTTTCTGTAGAAGATGATCTGCTGAGCCTACTATCATTGTGATAATGATTTGTAACTGACCTGTTGCAGAATCATTCCTGAGTCTCGGTAGTCGCCTCTGGCTTTGCAGAGCTGGAAGAGATCATATACCCCAGGAGCTGCTGCTGCCGCTGCTGCTGCCACTGCACCTGCTCTGATGAAAGTCTGCAACAACTGAAGCCAGAGCCTGGGTCTGACTCTCCTGCCCCTCCCCTCTGGCACATTTTCCACATGATCCTCTTTGTTCTGCTGCTTGATCATCTGTGAAGTAAATGATTAACAAGCAATAAACCATCAGCACTTTTGGATGGAACAGTTTCAATGCAAATGTTCACTGTCCTTAAGTGGTAAGGAAATATGTGCCTCGAGCAGAGGTCCTTAGATGAAACACTGCTTCGTTTAGAAAAAAAAGATGAAACTTTAGCCTACACTGCAATACAACAACCTTTTTCATCATGGTTAAAATACTAAATAGGAATGGATGACAGATAATAGAAATTTAAGATTTCAATAATGTTGAGGTCAGAAGAAGGGGAAATGGTCGTTGGGGTTTTTAACGTGCTTTAGATTTAGGCTTGTACTTTATATTATACTCAATATGTATATATTTATAATTACTAACTTGCATTAAAGTTTGTACTTAACAGATTCTACCATCCGGTTGATCCTGCCTCCTGCTCCTTACCTTGTCACCTGATTCCATACACCTGTGCAGACTAGTTTGTCATTAAATCCTCAGTCTGCATGAGTGGATTTTTTTGCTACACACAGAGAACTCTCTGAATAGGGAAACATTTTATGGTCATTTTAATGCAGACCGACGTCGTCGTAGTGGGGGAGAACTAATACCTGAAACTCTGGGTATGAACATGAGTTAATGTTAGACGTTAGGGTTTTAAATATTAAATGTTTGGCCCTTGAGCACCAGGATCTTTATATGATTTTCTCATGTTTTGGCATTTGTTTTCAGTTGTTGGACACAGTGAAACAACATATGTAAGAATGAGCTGTGTCTTTTTCTTTATGGTTTCATATATTGTGTAAGCCTATACTTATTTGCCTATACTTTACTTGCTATAAATATGAATTATTCAACAACAGTGACTGTGAAAGGCATTCCAGATTAAATGAAGTGTTTATGAAATAAAATATACACTGATTAGCCCCAGATGTGGCCCAGAGGCAAATGTTAAGTGTCATACCAGGTAGAGGACCTGTGCCACACCAGCACGGATGTGCAGTGTGTTTTCTGTACCGTGCAAAGTTACTTATCCCATTCATCAAAGTTTGATGGGTCCAGTTTGGCTACAGGCAGCAGAGACACAGCACACCATCAAGAAATTCAGGTTGAATTCAAGATGTGATGAGCTAAGCCGAGGGGAAATTAGATGCATTGCTTATGCTCCAGAGCTCGAGGTCCTACTCACATTTTTTTAGCTGTATGAATATTGTGTTTTGTGCCTCTTCATTTGTGCTCCCTGCTTAGTTACTGAGGCATTAATAATACACAGCTTTAGCTCAGCTTGCTGCCTCATATTACACAGCGTGAGCAAAGATTAAAATGAAGGGGCTCCCTCGTAATGACCTCCTCTAAGGATAGAAGAAATTGATAGAACCCAACAGAAGCAATCTCTAACCGTCGGTGGTTAGGAGTCATTTGCAGCTAACATCCATTTATGAAGCACAGTCATGTTCGGGGGTGGATTACCAAATGGCAGCCAACTAGTGTGTTTTATGAATGTGCATTCTTCTTATTTGTAAAATGTTATACACTTTTATCTATGTTTGTCACATATAGGTTTACAAAGTCTATGTGTGGTAACTTTTTGGTTGTACAAATAAAGTTTCCCTTCACCTGGCAGCTGGTTATATCAGCTTTATTAGTCATTTTACATGTAGAGATGAGCAAAACCCAATCTATCTTCTGCATTTAACTCTTCCTGGGAAGAAGTGTGGGCGTGCAGGATTTAAACCTTTCACAGGTTGCCCATCACTAGACCCTGAGCTTCCGTACGCCCAGAGGGCAGCACCATATCACATAGGCCATAAGTTGGAAATTATTTTACCCAACTTTAGTTCTGTGATGGTCATTTCTGTTGGGAATGTGTGTTTATTGTAACATAACACAGATTGAAGTGGTGGACTAAATGCTAGGTGCTTAGGTCTTTTCTTGAAAATGTACCTTATAATAATAATAATAATAATAATAATAATTATTATTATTATTATTATTATTAATGTAATCATAATAATAACAAAATTACTTGTTTTGTTTTTGCCCCCTACTGTGTGGATGCTGGGACAAAGATGCCTTTTGTTTTAGAACAGTAACAGTAATAATTCCTTACCGCCATCTACTGGCCAAAGCTTACATTACACAAGGCATTGATAGAGCAACAGGTAATTTTAAGACATTTTCGGCAGTTTTGTAGTATTTCTACAAAGGCGACATGTAATTCCCCTTCTTAGCACGATTGCACTATAAAAATATTGGAAAGCTCCTTTTATATGAGCTGACTGTCTCGGTAAAATAATATTTTTCAATATGCGCCCGTACTAAAGTCCTGAGTACGGGCGCATGTAACATTTACGGAGTGGGTTATTTGACCAGATAATTCATAATAATGTCGACTGTAATATCGCACCTATAGTTTATAAAAGCGTCTGGGGGTGGGTGAAGCTAATTTGTATTCAAAGTTTGAATTATTTCGCAATTTGTTTATATTTGCCCACAGTTAGAAAACGTATTAACTTATAGTAAAAAAAAACGTATAATTTGCGAAGGGAGTTTAGCAAAGTTACAACAAACTACATTGACGATGGTGAAAACGACACGCCCGAAGGTTATAGTGTCATTCTCTGACGCCCATGCAAACAGAATACAGCCACACCCAAGTCTGTACCTCCCTGTTGGCACAGTTGAGTCGTATTTAAAAAGTGTAAGAGGACACCAGAGAGGGGCAGAGAAGGAATACTCTGTCCACAAATACGCACGAGCGAAACAAGGAATAGATCAGACTGATTTACATTTAACTTTCGCCGCCAACATGAAGTGTTTTAGGAATGTTCTGCTTCTTCTTCTGGTCGTCGCTGGAAGTTTAGCACAGGACGGTAAGAAGTGAATTGTTATAATGTTATTATTATCACTGAGGTCGTGTTATAGCCGCGCAGCTAACCAACCGGCTGTGTATTTTAGTCCACACGCCATTTTAGAGTTAGGGTCTATAAAATGTTTTATTTTTATTTCCTGGCAACAGCAGAATGACGATTAATCTGAACGGAAAGTTTAGGAAACAAACTCGTGAAAATATACGGCTTTAACAGCGATTCGAAAAGGGTGGGTCGCGCCCCACTGTCAGGACCATATGTAAGAACTTGGCAGAGGTTTTTGCAGGGGTTTGTGAATCCAGCAGGGTATAACTAGTTGTGCAGTGCTGCTTTCTGAAGTATCATGTTTCATATAAGCTAACAGAGAATTCATCTATTTTCCCCAAAGTCTAACTTACTTAAAGTGTAAAATTAAAGTGTGAACCATTGGGAGCGGTTTCTGCAGTTACTGTACAACACTGGCAACTGTGGTTGGCTTTAGACTGCCATTCTGTGATGTGTTGCAGTCTTTGCTGAGTTGGATTTCCAACAACAGACAATGCCAACAACAGACAATGCCTTCGCAAAATTCCCAGCAAAGTAGCATGTTGCAAAGATTTAGCATTTGACCGGGTATGCTCCTCTTTTTATTAATGTTATTTTCCATAACTCCACTAAACTATTACTAGTTTGTTACAAGTTTTTAAGTCTTACTCTGTCACATCTATTTTCTTTGTAATACGGGCCCTGATCAGCATCCATACTGTTAATTGCATATCTCTTGGACTTGGAAACAACTTAAACACCACCAAAAACCAGCATCAACAACAAGAATCATTGTAGTGCTGTGCTCTGCAGTTTTAAAACAGAATCTGGCCTGACTGGTTTGTAGGCAAAACCACAAAAGTGAGTGTGTACTAAAGTGTGTACTATTACCGTATTGGCCAGGTTTCTATATACCTCCGTCATTTGTTTTTACAGCCTCTGGGCCACAAACTTATTGGCGAGTGCGTTTCTCCTCAGAAACACTGGTTTGTTTAAATGCTGCTTCAACTGATATTCACTTACAACGTGTTGGTGCTACCAGCAGTGTGACTCTTTGTAGCCGCTAGACACTGATCACATGTGTTTCCACACTGGAGGCAAGCTGATAATAGTATGTGGGTGGGGTCAGTACTATCATGCCAGTCTTAAACAGTAAATTAAAAATGTTCTCGGTCCGCTGGTCTGAATCAGAACTTAACTGATATCTTTTATTCTCTGCTTTTAGGGTTTGACTTGTTTGATGCTCTTGATCCTGGTGAGTATCTCTTCTATACAAAGCAGGACATTTTGTGTTTCAGAAGTAACGTTTTGACTGTCCCTGTAGCCAGTCTGACATTTTCCACATCCCGATTTGTTCATATTGGTTTGAGTTACCTCATACAAATCACAGGTCAGACTATGTCTGTCTGGAGCAGACAGTCTCCAGTTGTGCTGACATGGCTGGTTTCTGTTCTCTTACAGATTTTGTTTATTTAACCTGTGATTACTTTTCTATAGGTTCAGTTTTAACTGACCATTTTAAAAAGCAGTTCCCCCATAGAGTTCTTGTGTGTGCATCTTCAAATACATTCAAATTGGAAATTAAAGTAAATCCACCCCAAATAAAAACGATGATACATGAAAGAAAGTATTGGGTTCATCTGCAAATTACCTTTCAAGAACACAAAATAGCATGGATAATAATAAGGACTTGTTGATAAATACGAAAAAAGCAACACAGTAATTAAAAAGGTCTCAACCATTAAGGATTGAGATGCACTCTACACTAATTTCCTAGGAATTTCCTCTTACTATTTATGAACAAACAGCATACAGTGAACTAGTGTGTATAAACAAATGGTTATTTAAAGAAATAGCACATTTGTTGCTACCTCAATAATTTTTAAGCAAATAAAAAATAAAACAGAAGAAACTAAATTCTATTTAAAATGTTAGTTTTGTTCCCCTGTACCCAAAATATTTGATTCAGTTCCTACTAGATTCTGATTCTCAGTTTTGTTTTACTTTGACTTGCTTTCGTACATTTTTATCTCTTATTGTTTTCTTTTCTTTTTTTTTTAAAGACCCAGTCACACCAAAACCCAAAGAGAAGCCCAAGGTTCCAGACAGTCCAAAAAACGATGGTTTGTACCGTCTTATTTCTATCAGATACAGTGTCAGTCAGCTGTGAGAGTGCAGTCAGGATGTGTTTGGCACAAAGACCACAACATAACACACAAGACTATCTGTTGTTTTCTGTTCTCTGTTTAAAGCTAAATCATTTCTTCTTCTTCTGCAGGTGGACTGGATCTTCTGGATGCATTTGGAGGTTGTTATGTGTGATCACATAAATAAAATCACACCAAGATAAGATTATAAGAATAAGATTTCTGGTTGTATGAACTATCTTACAAACCGTTTTATAATACTGTGTATGTTTTTTGCAGATGATTTACCGACAAAGAAGCCAAGTTCTGGGGATGATGGTAGGTTGGCTTAATTTTTTATGCCTTTATTTAGTGTTTGTGCACTTGAATGTCTAAAGTTGTCGTGTTATCGACAACAAAAAATGTAGCAACTCATCACGTTTGTCTGTGTATCACAGGTGGCTTCGGATTTGATCTGGGGGATGCACTAGGTCCAGGTAAAACCACTGAACACAATAAGCTGTAGTTTAGAATCTGTAATTTTCCCTTTAGCTCCAAATGCAGGGGATATGTGTTTGTTTTTTGTCTCTAGTTATTTGTTGATGTTTTATTCACAGATCTCGATCCCAAACCTGACAAACCTGCTGTGAACCCACCACCAAGCGGAGGAGGTGAGGTTTTGGTTCTAAACTACTTTTAGTTCAAGGCTGCTTGAAGATTGTATTTGGACAAATGTACAAAAAGTCATTCAAACCAAGTGATGACAGAGTGCTTACTGTAGCAGTAATGTCTTACAGGTGGTGGAGGTTTTGACGACTCTGACTTATTCGATGTCAGTATGGGGGACCACAAGCCTGATGGAGGCAGATCAGGAGGTCAGATCTCCGCATTATTATTTATATTTTTGATTTTCTCATGCTCAAAGTGAACTTCGTGTCTAACAAGACTACTGAACCTAAACCTTATTTACCTAATGCTCATTTGATTAGTATACTACAAGTGTAGTACACTTCAAAAATACAATACAAAATTATTTTATTTTATTAATTATGTTTCAAACAAGATTGTTCATCTACAAGCAGGCTGCTGCTGACTTTTTCTTAACACACTGAAGGTGTCACCGGCGCTGTCTAGTTAGTTTGGTTAGTTTGGCACACAATAGATTCGTTTTTTGGTTGAGTCGTTTTTGTATGTCTAGGGCAGCGGGTGCACAGTTAGTAGATCACAAAGGGAGTACTGGACGATCATTAGCAATTATATAATATATATATATATATATATTACATAGTAGTAGTGACAATATGCTGTAACAATTCAATCATATTATGCCATTAAGCTACGTAATGTAATAACAAAAAAACTTTTAATTTATCAGGTTAAAAAACAAAATGACTTGGGCTGCATTTGGCCCGCAGGCCATGAGTTTGACACGTGTTGATGGATGTTCCCCTTTTTCATTGTTGAGGTTGGTTGTTGCTGCTGCTCTACTTTCTGTTGTTGCTGCTGACTCAGTCAAGTATCTGAATGCGTTGTTCAAGACAACATGTATATATTTGTTATGGCAACCATGACTAATTCTGATCAGGTTAAATGAGCTGGCAGGCATATGACTGACTCATTTTCTGGATTATTTTTATGTTACTGTTGCTTGATAACATATATAGAATTATTAAGTAGTACTAGTGGGATGAAGTAATTACAAAAAGGAGAAAAACCTTATCTTAAATGTACTGTAAAAACAATATGGATATATATGGTCTCTGGGCATTTGTCTATTTTTGGGGATTACAGCTTCTGCTATCTGATGGTATTTCTTATGGTTGACCTATGATTAGGTACTTATCTAGACCTAACTTGCACTTTTTGTCTTTAATTCATCAATTTTGTCATCCCAATCCAACAGTATCTTTTTTTAATCAAAGTGTTTGTTCCATATGGAACTTCAATGAGACAAATATTTCACTCAGGTTTTGCAAAAGTAACTATATTTTAACGATAACTTAAAGTCAGGTCTTCTCACTTGTCTATGTTAAAGTGTATTTCTTCTTCTATGACAATGATTAAAGTATGTGTTTGGTTTTTGTTTTGGTCGAATTTGTCTTTGTGTCTTTTGGAAAGAATTAGTTTTTCTCTTTGCCAAAGACAAAAAAAGAAATAAAAGCCACAGACTCTCAAGTATAATTGAAACCACATGATTCTTTTTTGGACATGTTATACACAGAACTTGTTCTCTGTTGTTAACTGCAGCACTCAGAAATCCTCCGCTCGTGTGATTTTACTCACATCGAACAAAAAGCCACTTGTATCAGAGATGAAGCACAAAAACTGATCTGGTTTGTTTTGATTTGTTTTGTATGTAGAGAGGGCTTATAAAAAAGTCACACCCAGGCTTTGACTACAACAACCCCTGTGACAAAATGACTAACGTGGCTATTTCTCTCACATCCAGGTCGTGCAGTGGATCCAGGCCATGATCAGGGTATGTTTTTGCACTTACACACCTATACCTGACATGAACAAACATAATTGAGGTCACACAATAGACCAAAATGTAGCCATGAGCACCAAAACTTCACATACCACAAAGAATTAGAGCGAGTTAAGCCACACACAAGTGGCTTACTGAATAAAATCTGCAGTTGCCTAATGTGACGGGTTGACAAACTTTACCTCACTGTAAAGTTCTTAAAAACTGTGTTTTTAGACACAAGACCACTGATATATATATAGTTTGTGTTGCTTCTATGTTGTGAATTCAAATGGAGGGATTTAATTCTCTGAATTAAATATAATGTATTTTAAATGTATTAAAACAGTAGTTCGCCTCCACTTTGCACTGATGTAAAATGCAGAGGGCAGTATTTTGGCTGATAAACACACCAACTTTAATGAAATTTAATGGCTAACTAGATGAGGGACAACTTGCCTGATCACATTTTTTAAAGAGAGCTATACATAATCAGTCTTATAAACATACATTTTTTGTATTCTCAACAGGTGGTGCTGATCAACAAAAAGGTAAATCCAATCCTGGTTGCTTACTATACTTTCCCAGGTGTTCCTCCTGTGTTTGTCTAAATCTCATTGTCAGTGTGGGCATCAGAATATGTCACTATACAATACCACCATTGAGAATTTCCTGTTTCCTGTTTCCTGTCTCAGAGGAAACCACTTCTGTTTAATTGCTAGTGCTGTGCTGGTGTTTTTTCCGTTGGTTATTCGATGTTTGGAATTTGCCAAACGCATTTTGGCTGCTTTGTTGACTGGTGTGTGGACTTTCATATAGTTTAATCAGTTGATTATGTGTGTTGGTTCCACGGTGCAGACGTTTGATAATAAAGTAACTTTTGGTGGAGTTGGTCGTGGTATACTCTTCGTCTTGGTTCCCCGGTTTGGTTTCTGTAGCTCAAACGATACAACTGTGTGTCGTTTCAGATCCAGACCTTCCGTGGGACCAAATCCTGAAGATGCTAAATGCTAACATGCCAGAAGAGGTCTTTGTGTGGATATCCAACTTAAAGCAAATCGTCACACCTCTCTTAGAGAGGGCCATGGAACTGCTGCAGGCTATTCCTTGAGCAGCTGCTCTTTTTTTTTTTATTTCCTGAATTTGCCTTTGAATGGTGCATCACTAAACTGTGTTGGAATTGATATTGAAGAAAAATATAGTTCTATTTTTTAGAGGTCAAGGAGGAAAATGTTATTTGATGAGTCTTGGATTGAGAGATTGTTCCTGCAGTTGAGGCAAAGTAATTCCCTCTCGTTTCATATAAAGCATTATAATTTTAACAGAATTCCTGCTAAGAAAGCTTTTACTTTACTCCAGACACAACTACATTACTCAGTACACAGTAGTTTTGTCATTCCACATAAGAGGGCAGCATCTTTGGCTCTTGATCGGCATGTGGTACTTTGGCTATGGAAAAAATATGTAAAAAAAAAAAAAAACCCAGAACAACATGGGGTCTCATCTATCCCAACCAGGTAAAAGAAATGATGGCTCTGATGATTCTGGAGGTCATGTTTTGCTGCACACAGAAGAACATTCTCTCAATTACTCTTTCTGATTACTCACTGACTAGTTACAGCTTTAATCACTATAATACAAACACGATTTAAAGAAACTTTTTTTTAAACCAGAAAGAACCCCCACCCCCCGCTCCTCCTCTTACAGCTGAACATTTCCACATTCAAAGGAGTAAACAAAGCCAAACGTGAAGTCAAACAGGCCGACATAGACGATAAAGACTCAATGACGTCTAAAATTGAAAGAATCACAGCTGGAGGCTGTGGTACGTCAGAAGTGTAAGGGCAAGAGAACCAAGAGTGTGATTTTTAAGACTTTTTTTTGTTTATTTTTAATTCCCTTCTCATTTTTTCTACTAATCCATTAAGAGCTATTTCCCTCACACTGAGGCTTGTGTGGCTCATGTGCTCCTGTTGTTTGGTGGTAAGGCTGAAATGTCTAGATGGTGAAGTTTGCCAACTCCTGTCAAACATCACTGGTTTCTGCTGTGGCTCAATAATTACTATAGTTATGAGGCTTCCTTAACTAATCTTGATTTTGGTTTTTTTAAATGCTGTGTTTGAAATTCATTTTTCTGTGTAAGGTCAACCAGTTAAGACCTAGTAAGTTTTGGTTTGATCCAAAGTTAAAATCCATTGCTAATGTGTTTTTGGTGTGTGGTTGTACGAGGTTCCCTCATGAGTTTATATAAACAACACTTCAGGTATATTCAGTCTTGTTTGCGCTCCAATGGTAATTACAGGTAGTGATAGCCATAATTCAGAGTTACTGTTGAATCACCATGGCAGAGGTTGAGCGGGCAGCACAGTTAAACCTGTGATTCTGGAATAACCAAAGCCAAGTTATTTGGATGTGTATGTATTGTTTTGGTTGAACCTCCACCTTGCTCTCCACCTGTCTAGTGTCATATCATATTAGCATGTTAGAACGTTGACTTCTGTTACTCTGCAGGTGTGTATGTTTTATAAACGCCTGACTATTTGGTTATTTATACGTAGTCGTTTATTATTTGACCATGTAGTGGGATTTAAGAAAAATCCCCCGACAAAAAAAATTAAGAATTTAATGGAAGGAATTTTTAACAATGAATATTAGTGCAGTTTATCATTTGACCCTAAATGAAGTCAATAATTTGGATTTTTTGGATCAAATCAGTCATCTCTTAGTCCGTCAACAGTGGAGTCCAGGTAGTTACAGTGCAGAGCTCCCTTGTCATGAAACAGTATTACACAACCAGACAGCTGTGCACTTATTGAAGCATATAATCTCTAAGACTGACAAGAAACTTCTGCACCACGTCTGTAATCTGGGAGTTCCAACAACAGTCGGGTTTCTAATCTGAATGTTGCTGAATGTTTGCAGCTACATCTGCATGTTCTGTTGTTCTGCTGTCACCTTTTCTGTCATGACTCGACACGCCCGCTTTCTGCCTGTGTGTTTGATCGCTCTCAGTTCACACTATGTGGATCTTCCACAGTCAGTAGACATCTGAACACATTCCTTACATTCTTGACACTGTGCTGGGAGATCAGTGGTGTTGTGTGAACCTGTTCATGCATTTAAGAAGATAAACATGGCTGCATGATATTTGAATAATTGAGTATAATAATAACAACAACAATAATAATAATTATTATTATTATTATTTCTAAGTCAATATCAGCCTTTGTCGTCACAGTTTTGACAGATTTTCAATCAGGGAATTTCTCTTTTTTTGACATAACTTGAAGCATAGATTTATTTTTGGTGGGTTCTTTTCTGCTTAAAGCCAATGCTGTTTCTGTCTTGTGGGAAAGGTCGCTGTAATCACTGCAGTGTAAGGGGATCGTCATTGCTGTAATTAAAAATAAATAAATCTGTAACAAATAGTTGTTTTGCCTTAATGTTATTGTTACTGCTACAAACTGGCAAATTTTATTTAATTCGGTATAGTGCTCTGTCTGCCATAATTAGCTGCTTTTGTATGGTTTTGCAATAGTAATGCGTAATCATAATTTTTCTTTTATATGCTCTTTTAACCCACAGATTCTAAGGCAATAGTTAATGGTTTGGCAGTTTTTTTAATTATCTTGTTATTATCGTATTAACTCTTGCAAGTTTGACTATATTTTGGCCTACTTTAAGTTGTCAGCTATATTCATGGCAAAAATTGTTATTTTTAATAATAATAATAATAATCTTTTTTATATTGAGTGCTTTACGTCAAACTCAAAGACGCTGTAAAAAACAGTTGAAAAGAGTAATGAAAACAGAAGCACACAAGTAGGCACACAAACTGACATTAAAACCAAGTTGAAAAAGGCAGGGTTTGATCATTTGATACCAACAATAGTAACATCTGTTATCTGGAAGCCAGGTAACAAGATCTAAGGGCAGCAACAGCAGCTTCCATTAAACTCAATGGGCTCAGGGCAAGGTTTCAAAGAAGCTCTACAGACATATACAAAAGAAAAACCCCTTCTAAACAGTGAGCAGTAAATGAAAGAAGTGCAGCAGAACAAGATCCAGGTCTCTGTGTGTGTGTGTGTGTGTGTGTGTGTGTGTGTGTGTTGAAAAGAAAACGCAGCACATGCTCAGCGTTTCTCAGCTCTGACTCAGTTCCCTGTTATTTTTTAATTCATTGAATGTAAAGACCACACCCGCTTTTCACTCCCTGCACTGTGAGAAGGAACGCTGAAGTTTATGACTCAACAGATGTTACCGCTGTGTGCGTCTCTCTCTCTCTCTCTCTCTCTCTCTCTCTCTCTGTGTGTGTGTGTGTGTGTGTGTCTGTGTCTTGCGTTTGTGAGTCATCCTGCCCCAGAGGTTGGGTGTGTTCATCGTCCACATTTAATCCAGACCTTTGGACTTTTATCCCTGAAACACTGAGTCACATTGTTCTTTAAAGTATGAAGTGTCATCTTTGTTATGTTTCAAACCCTAGCGCATTAACTTAGTTCGTACAACTATTCTCTCTAAAACTTCACTTCCGGATGTACGCTGGGTTGTTGGTTATAGACTGCCACCTTGTGGCAAACTAAAGTTATAGCACTTAAAAATATTGAGTGTGGTTCTAAAAATCAGCCGTCACACATATCCTTAGTTACATACAGTATGTGATAAGATTACATTTATTTAAATTGCAATTCTCTGGCAAGTGAACAAGGCAACAGAGAAACAGTTAAAACCAAATTATGAAAGCAATTTACCTTCTGTATTTTTATGATTCCTAATGATTAACTGAGTTATTTGGTAATTAACAGATGCATATTTTCTCCAAAGACAAACTGAATCTAATCACTGTAACTTCCTTTGTGTGTGTGTTTCTGCAGAGCCTGGACAAATCGCAGGAATCGTCAGTGCCATAGGAATGGCTCTGCTTGGAGCTGCAGGCAGTTACTTTGCCTACCAGAAGAAAAAGCTCTGCTTCAAACTACAGGGAGGTCAGTGTTGGTTTTTAATTGATGCACACAGATCAACAACTGTGGAGGGAAGTTTGACACTGACGTAAACCTTTCTGATTCTCAGGAACAGATCCAGAGAGTGGTAAAACTGATCAGGGCACTCACTCTGATCCCCAAGGTAGGTCCTGGTATTTGTCTTGGGGATGTTGTCTTACCATGTGTTGATGTTTACATGTCAACCAATGCTTTTTATATTCCCATGCATACGTTTATATTTCAAAAGCAGTTTGTGTTTTTGCAGTTGTATTTAGAAACACCTGTTTTGTGCCTTTCTCCTAAAGGAAACAGTGTTTCAAAAGCATTTAGGATAATTTGCTTAATAATTTACTTTATAATTATTTACTTTACTTGACTTTAAATTTGGTCATTATCTTTCAGCCAAATTTTTCAATTTTTTTTAATTGCATAATCCAAGTTAAGAAGCACTATTTAAAATAAAGTGGAGAACAAATGAGTAAAACCATTTAAAATGAATCAGATTCAAATGAACCAAACATCATTCTGCATATCTGACTGTCAGTTTAGTCTGACAGCTAGTGGCCATCTGCGGATACTGCAATGACTGCTTTTTTCTCTCTTTTGAACCTGCAGTTCTCAGTAACCTCCTCAGGAACAGCTAGATGTTAAGCTCTAAGGCAAAAGAGGAGAAGAACAAGAAGAAGAGAATCACGAGAGAAGAGGAGACATAATCTACATGTTTTTATATCTTGATGTTTTTAAACCACAATGCAACAGAAATAAGACAACCTTAACCTGACAGCACAGAAAGTTACCTGTCATTTACTTTCCGTTCACATGTACAAACAGTTGAGACGTGATTTTGCACAAAGGTAAATGTCTCTATGCCTTTATCAGAAAGTGAGCAATGTTAATTAAAATGAGCAATATAGGTGTGTGTGTGTGTGTACACTAAATGTAGTTCCTACAAGGCTGGGGTTTGCCTGTCTGTGTCTGTCTGCATTGTATTTTTGTGCTGTTGTTGTTTTCCATGTGGCCGACCCCACTTAGTATGGACAAGAAGGATTGAACAAATCTTTAAACGTATTTGTTGCAATTGTTTTTTGTTCTATTTCTCATTAGGTTTTTTTTTTTTTTTTTTTGCTTAAGCTCATGTCAAAGCACTCACACATCTTTTCAAACTAAACGCCTTACTCCCTTATATAAAGTGTTCTTCATGTACTGTCTCAAGTGTTCATGTGTACATGATGTAAAATATTCGCTCTTTATTTGATGGGTAAGTCCAGGTACTTTTGAAAGTGTCAGCACTGATTTCACTGTAGGAGCCACAAGTCACAGAATTGAAGAAAAAAAAACAACAGAATAAAAGTCAAGCCAACTACATCATTACAACCTCAGGAATGCTTCCACCATTTATGATTCTCCGTCTTTGTCCGACTATCTGAAGTTTAGATCCTTGTCTAAACCCATTTATTTTTTCACATTCACATTTCACAGTCAGTTGAAAAAATTAATGATTTATCCTTGTAAACAGGAATTCCTGGTTTATGTCTGTCTCCCATCTATACGTTTTCCAGACTATACTGCATTGACACAAACTGACCACATGATGCAGCGATAGACTCCTTTGGCCCCACAACCTCAAAATGCAGATTTCTATCCATGGACTTATTGCAGTAAGAGATAAGAAAATGTCTCCATTCAGTGGCCAACTTGTACAAAAGCATTTCAAAAGCCTGAACTTTTCCCATTTTCAGAAATTGCATAATTAGGCTAATATTTTGAGGCGAAAAGTTGTTGTGATCTTAGAGGGAGAATTGTTTTGCGAGCTGTAAATATTCTAGGTCAATGGTGTGATGTTTTTGTCATCCTTAAACTGCTGCCTTCTGCTTTGAGCATTTCAGTATCATCAACATAGAGTGTTAAGTGATTAGTGGGAATTTTCTGTGTTCGCAGCCTTTGGCTTTTGTATCGTAGTATTGTTAACCAGGTCTGTGTCCAATGATCAGGTGAATGTTCTTGTATTTTCATTGTTTGAGTGAATCAGAAGTGTCTGCACGTGTTTTCAATAAAAGTATTGTACAGTCTGGTAATGACTCATCATTGTCGTCAGTTAATTGTAAGATAATTGCAGACATGCAGATTAATCATATTGACTGATAATAAAGAAATCTTAAAAGGTAAAGGTGACAATATTCTTAGGCAACATCCAATCAGAGACATACTACACTGCCACCTACTGGTGTATTAAATATTGATCGATTATCCTGAAATTCTTAAAAACTAAATTATAATTTCATGGTTTAAAAATATGAACAATTATGAAAAACTGCACCCACTTATAGCACCACCTACTGGCAACAGCAATTAAAAAAATGTTTTCCATACTTTGGACTTTTTCCACCAAATAAAGAAACAATGAGTTTTCAGATTACGTACTTGTTATCAATGCATGTTATGGAAAATCTTTATGGCGCCCCCTAAAGCTCGAAAGATACACCTCTACTCACCAAATTTGAAAGACGTAACTTGTGAATTCAGAATGAAAAATGTTTTTAAAATTAAGGTTTAATTCAAACCCTAACAAAGCTGTGACCAGTGAATAACCGGTCCATGTGTAAGCACCCATATTATTATCTGTTCAAATGTAATGTTTCAATGGTTCAAAAACCTACAAAGTGTCATAAGTATTGACTTATTGTACTAAAGTAGGACACTGAGGAGTTGAGTGGTGTGTATGTGCTTCAACATGGGTCCTGTGGTCCATGCACTCAAACATACAAACTTATCTGAATTTAAACATGAGCCAACGTTCTGTACTGTAAACAATGAAGCAACCATCCTGTCGCAGTGAGTACCTTCAATTCAGTTTTGTTATAAAAAAAGTTGTGATTTACTAAGAACTGGACGTCCCTCAAAAAATGTTAAAAGTTCTCAAAATACACATATAGTATGTGTCTGTCGCCTTTCCTACAGCAGCAGCTCAGGAAAAAAGAAAAAAGAAAAAAATGAAGTAAACTGAGACAGCAGAGGGCAGCAGCACATGTGTCTGTTGTGCAACGCCCCACTAAAGGTAACTTTCTACTGGTTGAATGACCCTATGACTAAACAGATAAGACACATACTGTCCCTCACAGACACACACATCCATACAAACATACACATACGCCTGCTCACGCCCCCCCGCGCACTTATATCTGACGGCCCACCACATAATAATCCACCCGCCGACGGATTTCATACGAAAGACATCAGTCATGTCAGGTCGGTTGACGTTATGTTTTTATATTTTTAATAAACTATTTTGTTTTGTTTTTGTTATTGACGATTCAGCTTGTTTCCTGTAGTGGCCTCAGTTTATTAGTGGTAATTTGCTGTTCTGTTTATTTTGGAAAACCTTTTTTCGGCAGAAATACATACAGTTTACTAATCTATAATTGTAGTAATTTGTTTTTACTGCTTAAATAACTTAATTTAGACATTCTCAAGTATCCAGAAACCTCAATATAGTTATCTTAGTTAACAGGAAAAAACAACAGAACGTTAATATACATATTGTTGTGACTAGTTTTGATAATTGCGTGTGTACATGTAATAACATTAGCTCGCAGGTAATTTATCTTAACAACCTATTATTGTTTTTTTTACTGTCTTCAATTTAAAGATGGAGAAAAACTCGTGTAATTTTACATTGATATTTCGCCAGGAAACTGACTGAACCTGTTGTGTTTATCGTTTTCTGGTAATAACAGCACCCCCTTCTGGCAATTAGAGATGTCAGATCTTAGTAAGCAAAATGCAATCTGATGAAATTCTTAGGAAGATTAATTGAATTTTTTAAGATTAATTACAATTTATTAATTTATATTTAACTTATAATTATATTATAAATATAAAAATTATTAATAACAATACAATTAATATTAATATTATTATTAATTTTAGAAGATTAATCACATTACATAATTTAATTAGAGTAAAACTTCAAATCCAGGACTCAAGAAAAATGTAAACTCCACCACCACCACCTGATGGCAGAAGGAAAATCATCATTAAAATACTAAAAGCCCACTGTCTCACTTTTTTTTTAGCTGAGGCCTTTGTAACTCTGGCCACTAGTGACTCCTACTGTATGGGAGCCATAGTGGTGGCCAGGAGTTTACGACGTCATGGAACAACTCGTAGCATTGTCGTAATGGTGACGCCGAACGTCTCACAAAGGGCAAGGTATGTCGGCAAAGACATTGAATAAGATCTAAAATAAATATTTGCTGAATAAATAAAACATTTATACATTTAGTTACCTTAAATATGTGCTTTGAAAATGATTTTGCCATTCTTTGCACATTTCTTTGTTACTTTTAGATATTTACCATTGTTACCTAATTGTTCCACTACCTTTTGGCTGACTATTAATAACTTTGGATATTTTTTCTGCTGTAGTTTTGCACCAGTTTGTATTACCATGTTGATCTCTATCGCTAACTACAGGAAATAGAAACTGATTTCAGAGTTTGTATTTTCCAGAGAATGTTAGGTATTGCCATAGAAATATTAATCAACAACACACACACACACGTCCATGCATTAGATATCTACACATTTGGTGAAACAGTCTGTGGTTTCAGTTGCCCTCTAACTTGTTCTGTCTCCTCTCTGAGACAAAGTTTAGTCCAGCTTTGAGCACTGATGTTTTCTCTGCTGTCGTTAAACACAATTGTTGTACACTGACTCACTCCTCACAAACACTCTGATTTGACCTTTTTCCCCCTCTATTCCCATTAAACAGACTTGGCCTTGAGGGTTTGTTTGACAAGGTCATCGTGGTGGACGTGATGGACAGCGAGGACCAGCTGCGTCTGTCCATGCTGCGTCGTCCTGAGCTCGGCATCACCTTCACTAAGCTCCACTGTTGGACTCTGACTCAGTACAGCAAGTGTGTCTTCCTGGACGCTGACACTCTTGTGAGTTGATTTGAGGGGTGGGTGGGGTTGACTACTTTTCAAACACTAGAAAAATGTTCCACAGAAAAACAAATAGATTCTGTTTGGAAATCACAGCAGAAAAAAAGGGTTTGTCCCAGTGTAAATGGACAACAGTGAAAGTTCGACTCTTGGTCAATGTCCATGAAGCCCATGAAGTCAGAACTTTGTTCTCTGTTCTAACTTTGGGTTGCAGCTCCTATGTTAGAGGACGTGTGGACGCCGTAGCGTCTCTCTGTTTGCTAAGTGAAGACATGTTTCAGTGTTACCAAGAACACACATGTCCAAGCAAACATGCATGGAGACAAGAACCTCAGGGTCACCAGTGCACTGATACAGTACAGTACAGAACAGTACAGTACAGTATGTCAACCTGTGCAGTAATCAGTCCTCAGTGTCACTGCTCTGCTGGACTAGCATTCATTCATTATTTGACAGGACTCTTTTATGTGACAATTCCGCAGTTCTTTCTGTTTTAGGTAACTTTTAGCAATCATCATTGCTGTATGTGCTATATATTTGGCTAACTTTGAATAATTTCTATCTTCTTCTGTCTGCTCACCTTAGCAGATTTGAGCTAGGTTTACCACATTTTAATTTAGTTACTTTTTGCCTCTAATTAACTTTCATTGTGACTATTTTGGCTGTTGTTTACAGGTGACTTTAGATAAACATGTAGTTTATTTACAGCTTTGTTACTAGCCTTGTTTACTTTTAAGTAATCTTCTGAGCCGCTCCTCTGTAACCACATGAACAGGTAACAGTTGGGACTGTTGTCCAGCTGTCATTGTGCATGACTTTAATGCTAATTTTCATTATTCTGACCTAAATTCTATCCACTAGAGAAAGATTTTTAGCTCTCCTTCAGCTTTTCACCTTCATCTCAAAATAACACTCCAATGCTAAACACGTACCTGTTAACTGGGCTCTTCTACTAAAAGAGGTATTTTGAAAATTCACACTTGTGCTGAACGTTCACACCTGTCTGATGTTTCGTCGGCCGCTTCCTCTCCTCTCAGGTTCTGTGTAACGTGGACGAGCTCTTCGACAGAGACGAGTTGTCGGCAGCTCCTGATCCCGGTTGGCCCGACTGTTTCAACTCGGGTGTGTTTGTTTTCAGACCCTGTCTCCACACCCACGCCCGGCTCCTGGAACACGCATTGCAGCATGGCAGCTTTGATGGTAAAGGCAGAGAAGAATGACAAAATCACTGACATCATCGGAAATAAAACTCCTTCTGCTCTCTAACCTCTAAACTCTTTTTGCATCTTCACATCTGTACCTTATTTTCTTTGCTTTAGTTAAATTTCTTTTAGTATTTTTCTGTTCTTCTTGCATCTCAACCATTAGTGCATTTTAGACATTTTTCCTTTTCTATCCCTTTTCCCTTGTGCTGTTGCCAGTCTACTCCTTTTGTGTTTAAATTATTTTCTAATTTATCTTTCCCCCTTTAGACTTTCTGTCCTTTATTGTCTTCCTGTCCTTGTTTATGTCTTATTTTGCCTCTTTTTTTCATCCTTTGTCAGTTGATCTTTTGCCAAATAAACTTTTGTCCTTTTTTATTTTACCCCTAAATGACACTTTTGTCCCCTTTTTGAAATGTAACCCTATCCATCAAAAAGTCCCTCTTATAAACCTCACAGTGAACAGATTTGTGTCTGTGTGCTGCCACCAGGTGGAGACCAGGGCCTGTTGAACACATTCTTCAGCAGTTGGTCAGAAGCAGACATCTCCAAACACCTGCCCTTCATCTACAACCTCACGACTAGTTCCACCTACACCTACCTCCCTGCTTTCAAACAGTGAGTCCGTCTGCACCACCTGAGGGTAACTCCATACCACTCTGACACTCCCCCGTATTAAAGAGATTTTCTTCTATGTTCCTCTGAGAACTAGTTACATATCCAAACTGTAGGTATTCATCTTCAAACCTTTTTGCCAATTGTTTTTGTTTTCATTTAACGAAAAGCTGTACATTCCAGAAGCTGGTTAGCCTGTTAACTGGTCACACAGTACTGAGACAATGGGTCATTGGACCTTCAGTGATTGACCTTCATGTTGAACCATGAAACTCTGTAATGTTCACAATAAATGAAAAATATAGTAAAACAGCTGGGATTCTGTTCCAACAGGTTTGGCCACAATGCAAAGATTGTCCATTTCCTAGGGGTGATGAAACCCTGGAGTTCTCAAGGTCGGACAGAGTCGAGCCAATCACAAAACATGGGACGGTTTCTAACGCTATGGTGGAATGAATATCGAGCTCAGAAAAACTGCCAACCACCTGCATCAGAGGGAGAACCACCTCACAAGTTTGAAAAAACACAACAGGTACTAGAGGTACATGTTCTATTCTGTCCTGTCAACACTTGAAAAAGCAGTGAACTCTGGAAACTATTGAGTCATTTTTAGGTTTTAAACTGCACCAAATTCCACAGTGAAATCTTGTTGTGACACTAACATGAATCTAAATATAAACTTCAGATGACATAATTCTAACTTCTTAATAATATCGTGTTGGAATTCAACAATGGACACTTCAGTTGGTGTTCATCAATCTACTACTATTCTACTCTAATACTGGCAGTGTTTTCTAAGGTCCAAAGAGAAGGAGCCAAGTCGCTATTCAGTAAAAAGCTGGAAATCTCAGATTTGCTGCTCACACAGTCTTCAGTCCAGATGGAGGAGATGCATTCAATGACTGAGCCAAAGGATAAGGAAGAAGAGGTGAAGGTGCAGGAGGGGAGTAAAGGGGAAGAAGAGGTAGGAATGAAGGTGGGGAACAGAGATTCAAAAATATTGTATCTTATCTTGGAAACATTTTTACTACATTTTTGACAAACGTTTGTGCTCCTTCACCATTAACCTTCAACTCTATTCTCATCTTTTAAAAATTAAACATATTCAGCATCATGGGGAGATGCACACAACACAGCTGACATCAAGTGAAGGTGACTTTCACCCTGAAGAAGTCAAAGGTCCTTCACAGGTAAATCTCTAATTATTCCAATAATATTTTTTATAATCTTTTAAAATCATTATTCAAAACCATTAAATTATTTATTATCCATTTCTAATTTAAATTCGCAACACATTTTGGCTCAATTTGGAATTTTTGTTTTTAGTTTTTACCATTGTCTCACACGCCTGTAAACTCACCGGTGGACGAGGACATGTCCCCGTCCAGAGGGAGTAAAGACATCCAGGACTCCCCTCTGATCACAGAGGGTTTGGACAACAGTCAGACGAAAACCCGAGTGGTACGTAACCATTTCTAAACAGTTTGCTAAACAGAAGATTAAAGAACTTTCTTAGAATATAAAGTCAAGTTGTACATGGTACTTGCTGGTACTTTAACAAGCTGCAAAAACACACCTAATTCCTGGTTACGCTTCTAGTCCCTGCTACTCTAACCCCCGCTTACCCTCAATGAAATGACCAGTGTGAGCGCATGAACATTGGTCGAGCTTGCAACCGGTCTGAAACCCAGAGATGAAAGCTCTCTGTGATGAATTCTCTCTGAAGACTGTTTTTTTTTTCTTCTTTCTCTTATTCATTTTGTTGTGACAGAGTGAAGCAGACAGAGTGAGGGAAGAGCTGCAGCGTCGGCAGCTGTGGGAGGCAGGACAGGCGGACTACATGGGCAGAGATGCTTTCAAGAACATCAAAAAGATGCTGGACTGCTTTCTAGAATAGAAGAAGAGCCCTCCCTCTGTGGAAACCCCCCATCCCCCATCCCCAAACACACACAAACAGAAGAGCACACCTGTGGCTACGATTGCTTAAGTTTTCTACAAAATCAAACTTAATACATTTTATTACAACAAACTCTGTAGTCAACACTGTTATATTGAGTCTCTATTAATACTGAAAGGGTTTGTGGCCACCCTCACAGATGCTGCCCCCTGCCTGAGTTTTCCCCTTTTAAGGCAAATTTTGTGACGTTCTGGTTGGATTTGTTTACCAGTGGAAAACACACTTTGAAAGAGAAATAGAGTCAAAGTTAAGTTAAGTCCACAGAAATCGCCAAACACCTTAAGTGCATAAATTCACCATAACTTTGAAGACAACATATTAGACGGACAGGATTGGAACCTCCAGGAATGACAAATGTGTACCTTAAATTGAACAGTAAAAACAACGTTCTTTTATTTTGAAAGCTAAAGGTTTGTTTTCTGTCAATAACTATGTAGGGGGTTTAAAGCTCTCAGCTCAGGGGATGTGGGGGGATTAGGAGGGACTTCCTGCTGCTCAATTCCCCACAAGTTTTTTTTTTTTATTAAAATAAATTATTAAAATGCTTAAGTTGGTCTTTTAAGAACAACAAACCTGATGTGGCCCTGATGTGGCCCTTCAATGAAATGACCAAGTGGCTCTCATCTCATGACTGACTTAGAAACACCTGATTTAGTTTTCCTCCCCTTTTTAAAGAAGCCCTGTAAAGACATTTGTTTGGACAACATCTTTTACACGATAACCAATAAAATGCTGGTTATGTGATTTGATTTTTCAGCCCAGGACTAAATGGACTATGGTCTTGTACAAGATCTACGAACTAATGTGTATCAAAAACTGCTATGAACAACAACAGCAGATTTTAAAAGTGCATTATTCCTAAACTAATCAGCTCACATGTTCCACCTTGGAACATTGTAGAGTTGGAACTATGATTATTATCTCTCAAATCTGTTTCCTATACAGAGGAAAGAAAAGTCAATATAATAATAATAATAATAACAATAATAATAAATACTTTTAGAGAAAACATTGTGTATTCTCCTGTGTGTTGTATTTGGCTTTTTGTTGTTGTCAGTCTCATAAAACCTGACTTACAAGCCTTTACTCCAATACTTTTCTCACCAAGCAATAGAAAACCAAACAGTTTTGACCTTGAAGATCGTTGTCTGGTTGAAAAACAATGGATAAAGATCAAGCACAAAGATAGTGTCACACACTCCTGGCTGAGTTATTACAATACGTACAGCAACTGAGTCTGACTTTGTCCACAGAAAGTGGTTGTGTGGAGAATTGTCCATCAGGGGGCAATGTGTCTCTTCCAACCTGAGCTCCTCCCCATCATGGCAGTATTTAGGACGAGGCAGCAGCAGCACAGATTAATAGTTGTTTGTATGCAGTGGACAGGCAGCGTGCGGTGTGATCCTTATCCACCCTGCACACGGTGCATGTCATTTTCTTTCATAATGTTGTGACACAGTGATGAAAGACGCTGCACCTAAAGGATGCAAAGCTGAATGTCAGGAGGTGAGGCCCAGACTCTGAGGCGCAGTCTCACCTGCCTGATGATAAATGCTTTAAAGGAAAGACAAAGTGGCAGAACTGCTGTGTTCGACGTCGTAGCTTCTCCTGTTTGACCCCGATTTATCAGGACTGAGGAGAATAGCAACAATTCTGAGTAAAAATGATGGTTTTCTGGGATGGACTAAATATTTATTCCGTGATAAAAGGAGCCAGGGAGATTTGTCCTACTGTATTTGTGCAGACACAGATGATAATGACAGAAACAAGAGAAGATGGGAATTTTAATAAAAAATAAGAGATTAGTTGTCCTGGTTTATGCCTTTTGGTGATAACCTATCAAGAGACAGTCAGTTTAAAATTAACTACCAATCTCTGTCCTCTTTTTTGGATGAAACTGTGCCTGACCGACTTGCCTGCGGTCCAGAGCTGTCTCCAGTAGAAAATATCTGTTATATAAAGAGGACCATCTAACCATGATGGCCCAGTATGCTGAGAACGGGCAAAAATTAGTACCCTCAGTTACAACCAAACAATCAAAAACATAGGAGGATGCGACCAAACGCTGCCAAATCCAAAAATCTGTTAGGAATAAAAGCCTTGACGTTCTAAAGGAAAACTTAAGCCCTCTGAAGAATTTACCCACTCAGGCCCCTTCTGTGTTTGTTTTGACTGTAATGGAATGACACCTATATGTGCTTGGAACTGAAAGTGAACTGGAACTGAACGTCACGCCCGGGTAGGAAAAAAACGGCAGCTTGAGGCTCTTTGGACAAAACGGAGCATCTGGGTTTCATTCCCTTTCTGTCCTCGGTTGTTTATTCATAATTATCTATCCTACAAAATATGATAGTTCAGGTGTTTCACAAAGCATTATGGTATAAGCCACTGTCAGAGAGCTGTTTGAGACAAAGCTCCATACTGTGTGTGTGTTGAGATAGAGTGAAGCTGAGTGAAAGTGTGGGTAGATGTTCATGCTGGATTTCTGCTTGGTGGAGTATGTGATTTATTAGACTGAGAAAGAAGCAGAGTGTGACAGAGCAGAAGCAAAAGAAAGATGAGGAACTTTGTGTCTGAAGACCAGGGACCATTTATATATATACATATATATATACATATATACACACACACACACATATATATACATATATATACACATATATACACACACACACACATATATATACATATATATACACATATATATACATATATATACACATATATACACACACACACACATATATATATATATATACATACATATATATATATATACAGATATATATATACATATACATATATATATATATATACATACATATATATATATACATATATATATATACATATATATACACATATATACACACACATATATATACATATATACACACACACACACATATATATACATATATATATACATATATACACACACACACACATATATATATATATATATACAGATATATATATACATATATACACACACACACACATATATATACATATATACACACACACATATATATACATATATATATATACATACATATATATATATACATACATATATATATATACATATACATATATATATATACATACATATATATATATATACAGATATATATATACATATATATATATATATATATGCGCCTATATTTAACCATATACTAATCTGAACTATTTGGTTCACAAAGAAAATCTTTAACCAAAAACCGGTTGTCGTACCACAACTCAGTTGCCAAACAAGACAACAATACCATGCAAACAGCAAGTGAGCACTGACTGAGTGTCTGGTGTCAGTCTGTAGTTAGTATATACATGCTAAGAACTGTTTTTTTTGGTATTTCTTGGGATGTGCTATTTCTTGTATTTCTTTAATTTCATAAATCACCATGAGAAAGAAAAATAGTGAGAACAACAATAGAAGTGAATAAAGAGATTATATGAAAGCATGAGAATGGCGCTCAAGTTTCAAATCTGGCTTCATGGCTTAACAAAGTTGTTGATTTGTACCATCATTAACAACAAGGAAGCAATATAAGAAGCTAAGGTTGCCAAAGGAGTGACTGTGATCACCAAGCAAAGATCTCAGACATTAGTGGAAGTGGTAAAGTTGCTACTGATTTGGATCAACGAAAAGCAGTTGGCCGGCAACAGTAGTCTGAGACAATAATTAGTGAGAAAGCGAACACAACTCCTCAGAACCGGTAAGGATGAATATAATTGCCTTTCCTATTTATAGCTTTGTTCTTTATTCAGTTGTGTAAAATCTAATTTTTTCAATGGTCTTGTATATGAACCTGTACACAAAATGCTGTTACTGTTACTCCTAAAGACTGGGTCGCGACTCTCAGGTGGGTCACAAGAGTTTTTTCTTGGGTCATCTCGCATCATATTTCCCAGGAGTTCACGGTCATCACAACAGCTGTCTGGATCCAACCTCAAAATAGCTGCCAGTTTAAAAGCTCCACCTGTGGTTGTCTCTATTTTTTTTATATTGTATAATTAATTATAGCCTATGTATTTAATGTTAGAATTATGTCCCATTTTGTATAATTTGTAACCTTTTTGTAATTATTTTATTGACTATTCTGTTCCGATATTGCTGGTTCAATTGAATGAAAATGAAAAGAAATGGGCTACATTTAATGTCCAAATAGGCTACCTATGGATACCTTTTTTGTTGGTTCAATTAGTTTTTCATTGTTTAAAACAACGTTCATGTTCAATAATGGTCAAGTACATCTTTATTTTGTGATTTACGAATAATAAACTAACTCACTAAAGGTTAGTGACTTTTTGAGTATGGATCCCCAGAAAAAAACTTTGGGAAACACTGGTCTAGAGCACAGACTGTTTGTCACTGCTGTTCAGATTTAGCTGACACACACAGACAGTGTGTGGACCCAAGGAAAATGTGATAAATGTCAGACAAACCTAAGCACGTCCATATGTTTGGGTTTAACTGCAGCGTCTCCTCATCATGTGTGGTAGCAGCCTCATGACTGTTGGATTCATGCTTTAAACCGCTGCTAATTTGATCAGTTGCTCAGCCAGTGGCTTCAGATTCTAATGACCCGCAATTCTTTCTGATTAAGCTGGTTTAGGGGGAGAATAATGACAGTCAGCTGTGAAAAGGAAGAGGTAAAAATGCAGGGCTGTTCTTTCATAGCTCCCTCGGCGCAGCAACTGGGTGGAGCTGAACCTGGCAGTGCCAGGAAGTGGGCCACAATACAGATTCTCACAATTTAGCCAAAGTAAGCACTTTGTCTGTTCTGTGAGCAGATGTATGTCAGAGAAGATTTCAGGTCAATTTGTCCTTTTTTCACTGCTAAGAACTCACAACTGCTGATTGGGTCCAGGACTTGTGAAAATTTATCAAACTGAGGCAGAATGAATAAAACAGCATCCAGCGGCGTGATGGCCCGCAGGCACTTTCACATCTGGCTTTGCACGCTCATTCCCAGAGAGGGAGAGGATCGAGAAGCTTCCAAGGTTGATGATACGGCTGCTGGAATCAGAGACAAAGGCTGTGAAACAACTCCGACAAGGTCTTATCTGTTATAAAGAAGCAGATGGTGAAATAAAATCGTGATGTGATTTAATACAGTTTTGCCTCAGACAGATTCTCAGCGTATTCATTAAAGGGGCAGTGCATGTGCAGAAGGGGATTTCCTAAGAGAAACAAGTGCAAACATAACGTTTTACTTAGAAAAGAAACAAAGAACCAGTCATTCCAGCTTTAAAATCATAATTAAATAGATGTAATTATAGGAAGGTTACCAACTACTCCTGCTACTGAACCTGACTGTAATAGATGTCCTGCTGCTCTATCTTGTTACACCTATACTATCCTCTCATCCACATTCACTTAATAGAAGTGGCTGAAACTATGAAAAATAGATATTTAAATAGCATGAGAAAAGTCTTTGTCTCACATTCCCAACATGAAAACACAAATCAAAAGTTTGCCTAATCTTATAAAATTTAGTTGATCAGTAGGCACAAGCTTTGGATTGGTCGAAAAATGAAATGAAGTAAAGACTGATTTTAAAAATTGGTTTCAGGTTGTTTAAGGTTTTAATTCTGCCCGTCTGGGCTTTTCCTGCTGTTTGTGATTGCTATTACAAAGCCATTTTAGACCATATGATTACAAGTGCAATGCAACATGAATTGTGTCATTTTAAACATAAAAGTGCAAAAGATGGACAGAAATGTCCTAATGGACAATGTCTACAATGAGCTGTCCACCAGGTCCACTTTGTCCAAGTGTTTGATTAGGAGAAACCCAGATTTGGACCATGTCTGTTGTATAGAGCAGAAACTGTGGTACATGTACCACCAGTGCTACACAAGCTCCCTCTAGTGGTATGTGGGGAAAATTCATATTTTCACATTTAAATTTTCAATTGAATAAATCTGAAATATACCATGGAGAATTAATACAACATTTAAACATAAACATATACATATAGGGAATAGGCTAATAGGGAA